TATATATATAGTGACTAGCCTAGGGTTTTACATTCTAAGGTTTTGTATCAGTAGCTCAAAGTTTCTCAATCTATTGAGATCCCCACTACCTAAAAATGTGTGGTTTTTGTTTCATCTTTGTCTCTAGGCTGAATGTAAAGATCCAGAAACAATGAATCTGACCATATCAGAACTGTGATGACCCTTCAGAGTCAATAGGGAAATAGAGGTTGGATATGGTAGGGTCTGTGTCAGAAAGAGAGAGAGACAGACAAAGACACAAAGAGAAACTTGTGAAAGGGAAAGATGAGTCTTGCTTATCCAACATAGATATTCAAGTTGGAAAGTCACTCTTCAAATAAAGAAAGAACCAGAGGTCCAGCTGATCAGGATAGCTAAGAGAAGGATCGTGAGAAAGGGCACTAGCATTGTGCAATGCCCACCTACCAGTCAGTGGTTTCTAGATGAAGAAACCAAGGCTCAGGCAAGCCAAGTAACTTGTGCACAAGTAGCCACTTATGACTGAAACCAATAAATAACTCCAAATCCCTTCTGCAAATCCTACCCTTACTCCTGAGCCAAGAATGTGAGAATTTATGACCTTGAATTTTTACCCCTGGGTCAACCAAACCACCCACAAAACCTAGAAAAGGTTGTACTCTATATTTTTTACTTGTATACAGTGTAGTTCCAAACCAAACTGGGACAAATTTGGACCTTGCACCTATGATAAGACTGGGGTTAACACAGCATGATTCATTGAATAGCCTTGCCTTGGATGAGTCTCTGGGAATTTATGGAATCTCAGGAGAGTAGGGGAGGGCATGGAGCTTTCCTATACACCAGGAAATCCTGATTTTGCTAAGAATTTAGTCAAAGCCTTGCTGATGTCAACTCCAAAGACATCGAGTTTCCTTGCAGTCACTGCTTGAGATTCGCTGAAGAATTGTGGCTGTTTGCCAGGATGTTTAATAGGAAGCTCCTTCCTTTGTGACATCACCAGGCAGGTAGCTAAGGAGACACTCTTAGAACAACAGCCACTTTTGTGGGAGTGCAAGAACAGCTTTTAAAACTGAGGGTACAAAATCAGGCTTCATTAGGATCCTGAATCCAAGCCAGCCGGTAAAATATGGGTTCTACCCAGAGGGGCACCACCTATCAAATGGTCAAGACAAATAAAACTGGGACTAAGGTAATAGTTTCAACACAGAAAGGGGCTGAGATAACCAGCACAACCCCTCATCAGGGACGTGGGTCCATTGCTGCCTCAACCCATCGAAGTGCTGTAATCACCATGAGCCCTCCTATCCATCGAAGATCAGAACCCGGGCATACCGTCATTCCCAGAGACGATCATCGCTTTAGCCTCCCAGGAAGCAGCTTCACTGGAGCACCCATCTCTAGAGGAACTGAGAGTCGATCAAAATCAGATGCATATCACCATTCCTCTCTTCACCGAAAGATCCAGCAAACTCAGCCATCATCTTCCTATGCTGTTCATGTGCAGCGGGCTAGTAGTCCTCACAAAGAGGAATCCCCACGAAAAAGGGCTGAGAGCAAGGGAGGGCATGACATGAACCGTTACTCGACCACAAATGTCAAATCCTCTCGCCGGTTGAGTTTTGTAGACCAGAAGGATAATATACAAACCTTACCAGAAGACCCACCCTCCAAGGTCCAGAACCCACAAGGGGTCAGAGTTCCCCGTAGGCCTTTGATTTGCCCAAAGGATGAAGCAGTCCAAACTGAGCCCACCAGAAAGAGTATAACTGTTATTGAGAAAAGATCTCCAAGGAAAGCCTCCAGCCCGGAACGCAGCTCTAGCCGCCCTTTTGCAGACCCTCGGACAGCTCAGAGAAGGACCCCGGACCAAGAGTCTGAGACCAGTCCTTACAGCCGCACCTATATAGACCCTCGGACAGCTCAGAGAAGGACCCCGGACCAAGAGTCGGAGACGAATCCTTACAGCCGCACCTATGTAGACCCTCGGACAGCTCAGAGAAGGATCCCTGACCAGGAGACTGAAACGAATTATTACAGCCGCACCTATGCAGACCCTCGGACAGCTCAGAGAAGGATCCCTGACCAGGAGTCTGAAACGAATTATTACAGCCGCACCTATGCAGACCCTCGAACAGCTCAGAGAAGGATCCCTGACCAGGAGACTGAAACGAATTATTACAGCCGCACCTATGCAGACCCTCGGACAGCTCAGAGAAGGACCCTGGACCAAGAGTCTGAAACGTATTATTACACCCACACTTACACAGACCCTCAGACAGCTCAGAGAAGGATCCCTGACCAAGAGTCTGAGATGAATTATTACAGCCGCACCTATGCAGACCCTCGAACAGCTCAGAGAAGGATCCCTGACCAGGAGACTGAAACGAATTATTACAGCCGCACCTATGCAGACCCTCGGACAGCTCAGAGAAGGATCTCTGACCAGGAGGCTGAGACGAATTATTACAGCCGCACCTATGCAGACCCTCGGACAGCTCAGAGAAGGACCGTGGACCAAGAGTCTGAGACGAATCATTACAGCTGCACTTATGCAGACCCTCGGACAGCTCAGAGAAGGATCCCTGACCAAGATTATGAAATGGGTCACTACAACTCAATTTATATAGAACCCAAGCCCTTGCACAGGAACAAGAACGTGGAACCATCCCTCAGACTCTCTATCCTTAAAGATTTGGATGGCGGACACCGAGTTTCTATGCGTGAACCTATCCATAAGCAGTCTGCCTACACTGAAACGAAGCCCTCCCCAAAAGTCTTGATGTCATCAGAAGTGGAGGCCAACATGAAGTCCCCAATGCGAGGAGATAACGAGGTCAGCCGCAGAGTCACCATATACTCAGGAGTACAGCCAGCGCAGCCAGCTCACCACGTGACAGCTCGGACAGTGTCTGAGAGCCCCCCCAAACCTCCTGAGCCTGTCAGTAAGCAGCGTACCCCCAAACCCTCAGAAAATGTCTACACGTCCCCAGAACCCTCCCCAAGTCACTCTGCTCATGCGAAAATGGAACTGACCCCTCGGCCCCTACCCCCTCGGTCCTTACCTAAGTATGGGCCTGACTGCTCATGGTGGCCCTTACTCAATCCTGACATTGAAATGCCTCAAAGCCGGCCAACAACACCTGATTTGGAGCCTAAATCCCCGCTTCCTGCAGACTATTCATTGTCCTTTTTTGAAATGGACTCAAGCCCTTTCTGTGACGATGTGCTGCTCCAGCGAGAGAAGGCAAGTCCATCACCACCACCGGCACCAGCAACATCACCACCACCACCACCACCACCACCACCATCAGTGTTGTGCTGATAACTACAATCAGCAAAGGAGCCTCCAAGCTGGGCACCATTGAGGGAAGTGCCACAGGCTCCCAAGCACACCTCCAAACAACCCATTCAAAGGTTTAGTGCTTTCTTCTTGGGTATGTGAAGAAGCAGACTACCCAGGTGCAACCCCAATTTAGTGAGGTGGGACATGGCAGGGAAGGCCCCCCTCTTCATTCTGGGCCTTAGAGCTACTCTCCTGCCAGTGCCAAAGCTAGACCCATCCTTGAGCCCATTGCTCCATTCCTTCCCCGCCAGCTTCTCTGAGCTCCAAGCTAATGACATCGATGACGATGCTTGAGTCGGCGTCAGGCATTGACTCTTCCGGGCAACGCGCTTAACCTTTCAATGGAAGGTAGTAGAGAGCGGTTTGCAGGGTGGGGAAGCTGCTTCCTGAGAGTGGACATGAAGTACTGAGTTGGGGTGAGGGCTGGTAAGAGCTAGTAAAGAGAATAAGGTCCTCTAGTAAATATCCTGGGAACCAAGGTGAGGCACAGGTGAGCCTTCCGAGAGGGGCAAGGCATTAACAGTGGCACAGAGGCTGGGAGAAAAGGGAGAGGGAGAGTCTATTTAGCCCTAGACAGGGGGAGCTTCTTGGAGAGCTCCTTCTTCTTGGTGGAGAAATGTGGAGCTAGAAAGGGAGATGTGAAGTAGCGAGGGGCAGGGAGTATGCATCCCAGAGACAGAGAGAGAGAGAGAGAGAGAGAGAGAGAGAGAGAGAGAGGGAGAGAAACATACCAATCTGTGTTACTTTCAGATGTCTCTGAGGAAATGTTCAATCGTGTCATCTGGTGGCTAAAAGGTCTGTGCTTTTCCCTCCCATAGTTCATTGTGGGGGTTTGGGGGGCAGGAGGACAGGTGGGAGGGTAGCCTTGATGAATGTACAGAGCTAGGTCTGTTAGGACATGGTGCATGCTGGGGCTTTGACTTGAAGGAACAGAGGAACTTCTTATCTTGCCACCATTAGTTATTCCTTTGGGACTTTGAACCTTTTTCATGATCAAGAGTTTCCTTATAATGGGAAGTAGTCGCCGGAGAATAGTAGGCATGGAGATGTAAGCCCATGGCCTGTCAGCTTAGCTGATGTTACCTATCATGCGATAAAGAAACACCCCCCCCCAAAAAAAAAAAAACAACTTGCCTGCTTCACAGTCTAACTCAGGGCTGACCCCACACTGATTCAGGTTGGGGATGGTCTCATGTGTGTCTCTGGTTCCTCAGAACCCTATTCACACCCCTATTCCAGGGCCTGGGAGGTCCTTATTGGCTGCTGCCCAGAAGGATCTCCAGGGATGCTTGGGTTTCGCCTTGAGGGGTCAGTGGGTCCTACAGCCAACTTTAAAGTCCTAAGAGAAGTGCCTTTAGGGCCTGTGACCCTCCTGACTCCCCTTGTATCTTGACTTCTGTGGTGGGAGGGAACGTAAGGACCAGCCCTTAAACGTGAATCTTAGCGGCAAGGAGTTTCTGCTACAAGGATTGTGGTCCAAAATATGCTCCAGCCCCATGAGCATGAGGGAGGCCAGGGCTCTGAATCAGGAAGTTCCTAGGGAAGAGAGAGCCCTGGGAATGCAGTGCGATACCAACCGGCATGAGCCCTCCGCAGAGAAGGGCAGCCCTACCTCACAGCAAAGCTCCGTGAAGTAAAGGTTTAGTAGAGTATGGATTCTGAAGTCATTATTATTGGGTTTGAGCCCCGTGTCCACTATTTTCTTTTTTTAATCTTGATTGTTGAAAGTATTATATATGTCCCCTTTCCCCCCATTAACCTCTTCCCCTCCCTCCCAACAACTCTTTTCTAACTACGACATTGGGTAAGTGTTTGACCTCTCTAATCATTCCTTTTCCCCATCTGTTAATGGGAACAATGGCTTCCTTTTAGAGTTCTTATGAAGACTGACCAAGCTATGACATGTAAAACACTTAGCGTGGTATGATGTCTGGCAATGGTGAGCACTCAGCAAATGCTAGCTGTTGTCATTTGGGCCACTTGCACTAGGAGGGGACTTGGGCCAGGTAATGACCGAGTCCACTGCACATCTTCAGTAAAATTCTCTTTTTCCCTTCCTGTTGGCACTCTCTGATTTCCATTTGCTGCCCACTGGGAATGCCTGGCCTCTACATCTCCATTATGACAGATGAGGAGGTAAGAATACCCCTAGGAAGTTACTTTTGGTAACTTCCTGTGCTCTCCCTACCCAAGTCCCTGTCTCACCCTCTAATGAAAGCTGCTCCCTATTGTTGGTCAGGTGTTTGCTGCACAAGGGCACCTGGCAGAGCAGGCAAGTGGGGCCTAAAATCTAGCCTGCATTCCACTTGCCAAGTTGTAAATTGCCCAGAGGGGAATTTACAGCCCTGGAGAGAAAGGGTAGAAACCTGCTGGCAAGTGATGAATCCTGCCAAGCGTCCTGTGGGAAGGCTGTCTGGGAAGCCATAGGTTGAATTGGTCCCTACTTGGCTCTCCCCTCTACAGCCTAGGGCACTCCAGAAAGGGGACGCTTTTCTGGGTTACACACTATTTGAGTCCTCACCTTGGAGAGCCACAAGGTGAACTCTGCTCTCAGCAGCCCTGTGTCCTGAATTTGGCAGTGTCCTGATTTCATAGTGCATTGTTCCCCTAAGTACTTTAGTTCTTCTTGGCCCATGTTTGATAAGATAGCCCAAGCTCTTCTTACCTCCATTCTCTCTCATCTCTCTCTCTCTTCCCCAAAGCCTAGCATGGACTCTAATGGGTCTCATCTACGGGCTAGCCCAGGATGGACAGTTGACTACTACATATGAAGAACAAGGGGCGGGGGGCAGGACAGCCTGAGCTCAGATAACGGAACAGCTGCAGCGGAGGTGCCAGAAATGTGGCTGCCACCCCCTCTGCCATGGCTTCTTATCCAGCCCTGCTCCCTGAGCTCAGCTGTGGGTGGGAGCAGCTACTTTTAGAGATTATTTCAATGCAAGACAGTAAATCCTTCTCTTCCTTCCTTTCTCTCTCCCTTCCTTCCACAAACAATTTTTATTCAGATGCCTAGCACTCTTCTAGGCACTACTGGGGGAAGCATTGAAGCCCCATAGCACACACATTCTTTGGCCTTGAAAAACTTACCATCTGGATGGGGAGATAAGAGGTGGACAGGAAACAACAGTATGAAATAGTCTGCACTCAAATGTCCAAGTCAATGCAACAGACTTAATAGAGGCTCTTGGATGGTCTTAGGAGAGAGGGAGTGAGCCAGGAATTGGATGGGGTCAGGTTTCCTCCCTCCTTCCCAAAGTCAGGAGGGGCGGTATCTCGACAGCTAACCCCTTGCTCACCCCTTAATGCAGATCTATACCTTTGGGAAGGGGTATTTCCTCTATTTCAGGATATGATGTTTTTGATTGAGCAAGTTCCTCCCTATTCTGCCCCATCTTGTTTTAGTTTAGGAAGTCAAATGCCTTGGCAGCAGGACAGCTCCTTCCCAAAATAGCTCTTATCCTGTCTGGATAATTGCAGCTCTCCAGCCCTGTGCAGTAGCAGAGCTGCTCCCCAGAAGCTGGGAAGAGAAGACGCGCAGGCAGCTAGGCCTGCCAGTCTTCCTGGCTCTCTGGGAGTGGAGTGGCATGGAGGTGGGCCAGGTACTGTGCCCACAAAGTGAGAGAGCTAGGTCTTCCCCAGCCTGCCGCTGAAGCTGCGGGGCACAGGTGGTCCTGTCAGATGAGGACTCTGTGGTGCTGGTGTCCAAGGCTCTGTTTACTCTGATCTGGGAATGGTTGATGGTAGAGTCTGGTCCAGATTCCATTCCCAGCCAGGAATTCTCTCATGGCCCAGCCACCGCGTCTGGCCTGGCTCCTGGACTGCAGCATATCTATTTCCGAGCTTTACAGGGTCCGCAGCTGGGAATGGAGCACGATTCAGCCCATCTCTCTGTGTCAGTTTCCTTCCAAACTCCTCAAGACCCTCCTGTCGAAGGGGTGGGGTGGACAGATGTTTCTCATCCTTGAATTGGGACATTAAGGGCTGGAATCTTCCCAGAGGTGATTATGCTGGACTGAGGGACACATTCCTGATAGTTTTTGTTTTTTAAGTATATTTTTATTGGTTTCAGAGAGGAAGGAAGAGGGAGAGAGAGAGAGAGAGAGACATCAATGATGGGAGAGAATCATTGATTGGTTGCCTCCTGCACACCCCCTACTGGGGATCAAGCCCAAAACCCAGACATGTGCCCTTGACTGGACTAGATTGAGACCCTTCAATCCGCAGGCCGTCGCTCTGTCCACTAAATCAAACTGGCTGCTAGGGCCTGGTGGTTTTTTTGTTTGTTAGTTGTTGTTTTTCATAGCAGAACTAGCCAAAGCTCAACAGGAAGGTCCTTAGGGTGCCCTATGGGGTCAGTGGGAGCTGTCTTCTCACACAGCCCTGGGGAATTCTATGGAATAAAATAGCTCTTGATGGGATGGGGCTACCCTGGCCCCGAGAGCCTGTGTCCTCAAGCCACATAACCTACTTGCCCTTGGATGTGACTTCCCAGGCTGTCAGTGGACAAGGTGTTTGACTCCCTGCTATATCTATCAATTATGCAAGAAACCAACTCTGGAAAATAGGCCAGAAACTAGAGGAGGCCATCTCAGTGATACCTAAGGCAGACTTCAGTATCTTCAGGGTGACATGTCACTTAGCCCTTGGGAGATGGGACAGCCAGGTTCCTGTTGGCTCCTGAGCCACGGGGATAATTTGCTCATGTAGATTTCCTAGACAAAATTCCAGAGCCCAGGAGGAACACAGAGAGGCTCTGCATTCATGGGAATGTTAACAGAATCCTAGGGTATGAGCTGTCAGAAAGGAACCCTGGAGCCCTAGCTGGTTTGGCTCAGTGGATAGAGGGTCGGCTTGCAGACTGAAGGGTCCTGGGTTCCATTCCAGTCAAGGGCATATGCCTGCATCGTGGGCTCGATCCCCAGTTGGTGTGCAGGAGGCAGCCAATTGATGATTCTCTCTTATCATTGATGTTCCTATCTCTCTCCCTCTTCCTTCCTCTCTGAAATCAATAAACATTTTTTTTTTTAAAAAGAAAGGAAACCTGGAACCATCTCTCCCACTTTTCTCATTTTCTCTTGCTTTGTACAGAGACTGGTAGTTGAGAGGAAAGGGAATTGTTAAAAGAATGAAGCAGAGATGCTGGAAATGGGACAGGGCACCTCAGGAGGCATTTCATAGCAGCTTGACCCTCACCACACAGCTGCTTTTCCTGTCAGATGGTACCTCGTTCAAGTCCAGAGCAGGATAGGAGGCTGATGATCTCTTGCCCAGACTTGTTATTTTGGGGACAGGCTAAGTTGACCAACTCATCAGGGTTTACCCAGGACTTTCCTAATTCCAGCATGGAAAGTGCTGCATCCTGAGAACTTCCTCAGCCCTGGGCAAACTGGGGCAACTGGTCACCCCAGGACAGGCTGGGATGCATCTGGAAGTTCAGGGCAGAGGGGTACCGTCCTGCCAGTCGCCTGAGACCTGGGCAGATTGCGACCTATAAATGGGGGTGGGGAAATGCTATGCCTCCTTCTCAGGCTTGATGGCAGGACTGAGGCCAGAATCCCTTAGTTTTCTGTTCTGCCCAGTATAGTCCCACATAGGGAAGAAGCTGCCACATCCACTGTGGGCTTTCTGTTGTATTTCCAGAAGCTACTCGCTTCTCTGCCTGGAACCCATCTCCTATACTATGTCTTTCTGTCGGAGAAGTCTCATAATGTTTTTTTCTCTTTCAAGTAAGAGAAGAAACGGGAGGTGGGGTGTGGGCTAGATTAGGGAGCTTGGTTTCCGAGGACAGAGTGCATACGTGGGTGAGGAAGCCAATCTA